GACAATATTTCACATTTACACAGTGAGAGGATAAGACTTTTCTCAATTATAGACACACAGATATGTGCTTATACTATGAAGCACAGGCCAAAGTCAAAAGAAAAACACATTTCACCAGTTTCTATCTCTAAGAGTTGTTTTCCTTTCTAATATATGCAAAATATTTTCTTAATTGACTTGAGCACATAAAGAGACAGACAAAAAATTTTTCTTTTGTGTCTCCCCTGACAGAGGGCAGATGTCTATCATTTTGATACAGATAACCACACTGTTGAAACATAAAACCAGTCCCCCATTTCTGTCACCAATGGGAAATAATATATTGGCTGTGCACAAACTAGTCAGAACTGAATGTGACCAATAACCAGAAACAAAACAAAATCACAGGCAAAAATCTAAAAAAGAGAAATGGAGAGTCAGCAAGAGTCTCCCGCTGCTTGAGATTCGAGGCTCTACTGTGATAACCAATGTTTTAAACTCTGTCTCTGGTAGGTTGTTTGTCTCCACTTCATTTAATTCTTTTTCTGGAGTTTACTCCTGTTCTTTTACTTGGGAGATGTTTCTTTGTTTTCTCATTCTGGCTGTCTTATGTTTTTGTTTCTGTGTATTAGATAGATCTCCTATGTTTCTCAGTCTTTGCCTGGTGGCCTTATGTAGTATGTGTCTTATGTGGTCCAGTGGCACAGTCTCCCTGATCACCTGTGGGTGTGTTCCAGGAGCATCCCTTGTATGTGTTGTGTGTATTCTCCTGATGTAGTTGAGCATTGATGTTTTTGGCACATCAACGGGTGGAGTTGACTCTCAGGCTGACTGGCTGTGAGGACTGGCCAAGTCCACAGCACACGAGTTGCTGTGTAGCAGCTGACCCTTCAGAGGTGTGTTTGTTCCAGCAGGTGCTTTTTTTTTAAGATTTTTATTGGGGAATTGGAAGAAAGAGAACAGACAAGTTGCTATCCTTTTGTTCTTCAGTCTAGTTGTGGAGGACGTTGCTTCACTGGCCCAAGTTGGCACCATCATTGTGCTCTTCCCAGGCGAGGCAGATCAGTCGCCGGCTTCTGGACGGCCGCTCACGCTGGCTGCTGGCTACACACGCTGGCTCCTGGCTACACACGGTAGCCCATGGCAACTCAACTGCCATCGCCGGCGACTCACGGCAGCCCAGCTCCAGGTTGAGCTGTTGTTCAGCATCTTAGCTATAGAGGGCAGTGTCACTGGCCCTCATATGTGGGATCCGATCCGGGGCCCTCTGGCATCCCAAGCCAGCTCTTGACCAACATGCCACTCGGCCGGCCCTCCAGCAGGTTCTTATGCCTGTTAAGACCACCCTTTGGGTGTGCACTTGTGGGGCTAATTGGGTATTGCCCTAGTTGATCTGAAACTGGCTTTTGGGTGTGTTGTTTCTTGTGTGTCTTGGGAGGGGCTCCCGTGCAGGTCAATTTCAGCCTTGCCTGTAGACTACCTAATAGGAGCTATAAAGCTATATGCAGTTGGTTGCTGCCTGTGCCTGACCTGGAGGCATGTTGGAGTGGCCTCACTATGCACCAAGACAAGCTCCCACTAGTATTGGGTCTGGGGAAGCTTAGCAAAAAGCCCAGGTCCCCTATAGATCTTTTGCCACCTGCCGGCTTCCCATAAGGCTCAGCTGCTGAAAGAACCTCCTTATGTGCATTGGTTGGGCTGTTTGACCCAGTGTTAACAGTGCCCCTGGTGATGCCACCTAAGTTGGGCATGGTTTGTTCCCAGGAAGTCATGGGGTGTGGCCAGTGATTTTTGCAAGTAAATTCAGTCAATCCTTGCTCCAGTGCTGAGCCTTTGGCCACCCAGCAAAACATCCAGAGAACACTACAGCCAGCTACCGGTCACCTTGGGCCTGCAGATCCCCAAAGCCATCCAACAGAGGTTGCAGTGCAAGCTGTGGCTTACCCTATGCCACTAAAAGTTCTCCAAGCCACAGTGCGTGGTCTACTGTTGTAAAAGCCTTCCACAGCTTGTGGGGTGGGGCTAGTGGCCCAAGAGCTAAGAGTGCCTCTGGCAATGCCACAATAGCAGGGAGTTACCAAGGTGGTGCATGCTTGATTTTTACCAGACCAATGCGTTCTCAGATTTGGCTCCTTGGAGGAGGATTCAATACAGGAAAGATGGTGCTTTCCTGTAGGCTACACATTAGGTGGGTTTAACAGGGATAATGGTGGCTGTCCCTCTAGCCCTCAATTTGAAGCCACACAACTCAGCCTTTCCCCATGTGTCTCTGGTGCCTCTCGAACAGCCACCCCTACATTGGAGCCCAGGCTCAGTGCTTGCTAGCGAGTGAGTCTGTGTGCGGGCCTTTCAAGAGGAAGTGTGGGTTTCCAGTTGCCTTCCATCTCACCAGGATGAATGGATGGAGTTCTCACTGATTTTCACTGCCTGATATTGTGGGGAATTCTCTTTCCAGCATAAGACCCCTGGACTGGGGAGCCCCGTGTGGGACTGGGACCCCTCACTCTTCAGGGACCCTCTGCCTCCAAGATGTCCCTTCTGGTGCTCAACCACTACCTGTGGGTTTCGGGTCAGCCTGTTTTGCGTCACTGCCCCTCCTACCAGTGTTGATGTTGCCTCTTCTTTATATCTTTAGCTATAGGGGTTCTGTTCAGCTAGTCTTCAGATGATTTTCAAGGTTGATTATTCTATAATTTAGTTGTAATTTTGATGTGACCCTGGGAGGCAGCAAGCATAGCATTTACTTATTCCGGCATCTTGGACCTTCCAAGTTCCTCACAACATTCTTTTATTTAAGAAAGTAGGTAATCAAAGCTGTAAAAATATACATTTTTCCCATTCAATGCCATAAATTTATACCATTTAAATGGAGGAGAAACGTGGCTTGTAATCCTGTCTATTTGTCCTTATGGGGATACCTTGAGCCACTGCTGAATGTGCACCATGCATCCATTGTAAGTCATCTACCAAATCAGGGCTCTCTTCTCAGCAGAGCTTCCTCAGAAAGTGGGGACAGAAAAAAGGACAATGAGCTTATCCCACAGGGCAGGAAGTTCATCCACACACCATTCCCACCAACTGGGAGACAAGGAGCCTTGGGGTCTGTCCCCCTCTACCACTAATTGTCTGTGACTCTTCAGACAAGTTGCCTTCAATTTTTGCATCCGCAAAATATGATTGGGAAGGAGGCAGGGATAAAATAATCTTTAAGGACTCTACTAGCTATAACTTATACAATGTCACCAATCTGTTCCCAAGAGCTAATTCATAAAATAGATGATAGAGGACTAAGCAATGTCACAGTGGTTAATATTGCAAGTTCTGGAACCTTGAATGTAAATTCCTCCAATTCCGTATTGTGTGACTTTGGACAAATTACTTAACTTTTTTTGCCTCAGTTTCCTCATCTGTATGGTTAATAATAGTACTGATCTCACAGGTTTGTTGAAAGGTTTAACTGAATTAATATACATAAAGTATTTTTTAAATGACTCGTTCACTATAAGTGTTTTATAAATAAGCATTGTTATTATAATTACCTAAGAGAGCCACCTAGTTGTATATCCTTAGTCCCAGGTCCTTGGGGGTAGGGGTCAAACACCCGTAAGCAGAAGAGCTGTAGGAAATAGGCAGGCACGTCTGCCTCGAGGGCCTAGGCCCTCCCTTATCTTCCCAGAACAGAACATCATTTCCCATGGTTGTCCTGAAAATTCCAGTAAAATTGACTCATTGTGAGTTCATGGTGTTTTGTCTTTTTAACTAGATTTGTGGCAATATTCTTAAACAGAATTTTTTGTGCCTACTACCATTGCACTTTGAGTGGCTCTGTATTGCAGAAGGTGCTTATCAACAGTTTTCTCTACAGTACCTTCTTTGAAAAGCTTTCAGTCTCTTAGGGTAAAGCCGTGTCATATAAGTGAGGAAACAAAACAATCTAGGTTTGGGGCTAATCAAAATGCTAATTGTTCCAAAAGTCATTATCATGAGGTTGCCCAATAATGCTCAAAAATAAGAATTTAAATTAAATGTATAACATATCTTGTAAGCCTATTTTTTATTTGCAGTATGACCCTCAATTGTTAATAATGAAGGTAAATAATATTACCTTAGTGATTTTTCATGCATAAATTAGAAGAAGACTTAACATTCTTCCCTAATGGAAATATCTGCACACAGCTGGAGAAATGACTGGAGAAAGGTGTCAAGGTGGGACTTAGGAAATCAGCAGATGGTAACATGCCAGTGGCTCTTCCTTGGGGAGGATTGAAGATTGACCAGGCCATTGTGTGGAATTACATACCTCCTGGATCCCGATAGCTTTGAAATTGGTGACCATTTAGCAGCTACTGTTCTCTGTGACTTGTTTGGTACTGATGACAAATCTTTGAACTGAAAGCAAAATTGATAGAGCTGCTTGGGGTTTGATATAGAGAGAGAATGGTGCAGGCCCAGAAGCCTCTTTAAGAACTATGGTTCCAAGACCCAGTTGTTGGTCAGAGGGTGGGTTGCTTCTTGAACCAGTGTAGGGAAGGGGAAAGAGCATGGCTTTTGCTGACAGAGGGCCCTGGGCTTGCACCCCTGCTTGGCAACACATTGTCTGACCTTGAACAAGGAACTTAAGCTTTATAAGCCTCAGCTTCCACTTCTGTGAAGTGGATATGGGGTATTAGAAGAATCAAAGTAGCAGCATGTGTAAAGCTACTGTCTTTACAAGGAGTAGAAATTCAGAGAGCCATGCCTAGTCCTTCTGTGTCAGTTACATGAAGAAGATAAAGTTTGTGTCTATCATGCACCTCCTTCACCTTTTCTGACATCACATACACACTTTCCTAAGTTTGAGGAAACAAAAATAGTCCTTGCACAGAAAGCCTATGGAGCACCCAAGTCTAAGGAGGATGAATGGATCAGACGACCAGATGTTATCCCCTGTCTCAGTGTCCCTCAGGCTCTGCAGGCCCCTGCTTCTCCCCTGCTTCATCCCTCAAGCTCCCAGAAAGATCCTAAAAGGGCTCTTCTTCCAGGTTTGACAACTGGCTGGCCTCTCACCTCGAACTGCCTCTTGACTACTTGCCTTCTTACCCTGCAAATTACTCAGATGATTCCAAAACCTGGCGCCCTGTGGAGATTTCGAGGCTGGTCAGCAAACACCAAAACGAGATCTCCGACAGGAGAATCTGTGCATCTACAGCAGCCCCAAGAACCTGCAGCGTCGAGCGTGTCCTGAGGAAATCAGAAAGGTTCCAGAAATGGCTGCAAGCCAAGCGCCTCACGCCAGACCTGGTGCAGGTAAGTGTGCTGGCCATGGGTCTGGAGACAAGGGGGCAAGGTGTGAAGATATAGCCATTCCCATCTCACATCTCAGTCGGGGGAAAAAGAGCTGTGGTCTGTATAAAGTGGGACAAAGCAATGTCATGAAACAGAGTGGCTTGTGACAAGAAAGGAACTAAACAAGATTTAGTTATAGGGACACTTCCCATGGTCATCCTCCATGCTCTCTGATGTGACCTTCAACGACTATTTGGGAAACAGTTTCCAGCTGCCACTTCTGGGCTGAAGATCTGACAGGATGACCGTCACCAGCCCTCTGCCCTGACAGGGCTTAGCTCACCTAAAACCTTCTCACGGGGGTCTTTGTCAACCCCCAGACAGCGCCCTGTCTTGGAAGCTCCCATACACATCCTATTTCTCAATCCAGGGAGCCCACTTTGAAAATCAGCTTCCTTGTTGATCTCCCACTATAAAGAAGGACCAAACCTCAGTCATTATAGAAGCAGACTCTGATAATGCAGCTCCCTCTTCCCACCTAAGAACTCTCACCCACTCCCAGGAGTAGACTGTCCTCAAAACTTCAGCACATTGCTGGTACTGTCATACTTGCATTGGTTCCCTCCTGTACTATCATCTCCAGTGTCATCCTTCTTCAACCAGACCAGTACAGTCATGTACCTCCACACACATCCCACTGGGACCCTTGGGGCAGAAGATGCCGCCTCAGAGGACTGAGGAGCAACTCACCTTCAATAGAGATGGTAAAGAAGAGGTTCACCACAACCATCCTGCCATGCCTGGAAGACCTGAACTGGCTCCCTCAGAATGCTTCTCACACTCCTTGGGCCACTAACCCCTTCACGTGGGCACCTAAGTCTGCCTGGGTGACTTCTAAGCACTCAGGCCTTCCCTTGTCCTCTTCAAGATGAGGGACTCAGAACAAAGAGGGACCACTAATCCCTGGATATCTCATCCATGTGACAGAACCATCTGGCTTTGCTCTTAGGTTGTATGGAAACTGCTTTGGAATGAGGAGTAGTAGAGTTGCTGGTAACATGAAAATTATCTGACACTGAGCTTTACAATGTAGTCTTTTTGCACCCTGTACTTCGTGAATCTCACTGGCATAAAGTGGGGACAGAATTAGCCAGAAGAAGCCAAGCTGTTCCCAAGGGGGGAAGTGGTGGCATGATCCAACATAAGGGTCTTAGAGTTGGCGCAGGAGAGAGGAAATGGAGGCTTAGGTGAGAAGAACCCCATGGGGGCTGCTCAACACTGGGCAGAAGCAAAGGTCAGAGGACAAACACCCAAGTCCACACCATGGTTCACACCCTAGGTGTAATCCCCATGCACTTCTTTTTCTGTGATTGTGGACAGACCTTCCATTCAATGGCCTGGGTCCCCACTATATGCCTTCCACAGGCTGGCTACAATAGTATTCAGACATGGGTAGGAACCTCTTCCACCTCGCCTCAAATATGTCCCCAGGAACAAATAGAAGTGCCGAGGAAGAGCAAACCTAGATACACAAGAAATTGTTTCAGAACCTCTTGAAAATCCCATCACTTCTTCTTGTCCCCATTGTTGCCCAGTCCCATGCTGAGAGACACAGTTTCTCAAAGCACTGGCTCCAGACTACCTCCACCTGGGACCTGGACAACATAGCAATGGACAGAACTTCCGGGTGCACAAGATGCACTTGAGATCCCACAGATCTTAGGCTTTGAACTAAGGAAAACTCCCTCTTTCCCTCACCTTCTAGAAACTTCCATAATAACAATACAGTGGAGATTATCCCAGGGGCCCCAGCAAGTGCAAAGCAACCTGCCAGATATATCTAGTATCACCTACCTTGATGAGTATAGGCACATGAGTATAATAGACATTATGGTATAGGCAAAGGATCCCTGGGGCCTGGAAACTGTGGTTGAGTCTTGACTCTGCCACCAGAAGCTGTGGCAGAACAAGAAGGAGCAGAGACCCAGGAAGAGCAAAGAGCTTGTTAAGGCACAGTCAACGCCATAGCCATTTTCACTTTTCTTTGGCCCTCTCCTAGCCCTTCTTTTCATCCCCACCAGAGATTTTTCCTTTCCTTATAAAAAGAGGAAAATATCAGCAGACATTTTATAAATTATGGACAAATCCCATTCCTCTGTCACCCACCAAGCTCAAGGTCATTGCCATCCCATTTTGGCATTCTCCCTTTCCTGTCCTCCTTTCCAGCGATCCTTTGCCCTTAGGATTCTATAGCATGGCCAAGGTGCTCTGTACCCTTTCCCTCCCAGGCCTCATCCAGGCAGTACCTAAACTACGTGCTCTTTCCTTCTTAGCAAAAGTTACCTATCATATGGTTTCAAATCGATCCATCATCAACGAAAGTGTCTGTGTATGGGGCGGGGTGTATGGGGGTGGCATCTAGCCACCCAAGAGTTGAAAACACGTGTTCAAACAAACACTTGTACATGAATATTCATAACAGCACTGTTCACAGTAGCCAAAAGGCAGAAGGAACCCAAATTTCCATCAACCAATGAATGGATAAATAAAATGTTGTATCCACACAATGGAATATTATCCAGCCATAGAAAGGAATAAAGTTCTGACACATGCTACAACATGGATGAACCTTGGCAATATTATGCTAATAAAAGAAGCCAAACACAAAAGGACAAATATTGTATGATTCAATTTGTAAGAAATGTCCAGAATAGGCAAGTCCATAAAGACAAAAATCGAATCAGTGGCTGCCAGGGGCTGAGGGGAAGGGATAATTAAGAGTGACTGCTTAATGGGTACAGGGTTTCTTTAAGGGGTGATGAAAAAATTCTGGAGTTAGAACATGGTGATAGTTGGACAACCCTGTGAGTCTACGAAAAGCCACTGAATTGTACACCTTAAAATACTTAAAATAGTACATTTTATTTTACGCGAATTTTTACCTCAATTTTTAAATAGGAAGAATAAGCCATTAAAAAAAAAACTTCACCAATCCTGTGACTCCATTCTGTTAGAGCTCTGAGAGGTGATGGGTAGCTAATTCAATAATTTAATTCACACCAGGATCTTAACAGCTAATAGTATTTCACAGTTAACCCTCCAAGAAGCCATTTGTGTGTAAAGTCAATATTGTAATGCTCCCGTTAGCCTATCCCATGACTATCTCAGACCTTCCTAATATATCCCTGCATTCTTTCCCTCACTAAATCCAGATGTGGCCCCAGAATCCTTCTTAATAATATTCCAAACAAGCAGTCTCTGCCATGATCTCAGATGAAATATGAGATGAAATCTATTTCTGAGTGACCATTCATCCCAGATTTGGTTGAACATGAGTCCTAATTTCTGGTTTGGAAATTATGATATTTCTCTATTTATATGGAAGTTTCAGAAGCAAACTGGAAAGATATTTTAGAGAGACTTGCCTCATCTTTCAACTGATACCATATGGCCCAATGCCAGCCCAGCCTACCAGTCAGGACAACTCCAGGGACTCTCTTAGCACATGAGTTAAGTGGATTTTCCCTGATTTCCTGAAGAGCCACTTTACAACAGGAATCTAAGCCAGGGCCCTAAAGTCTGTGTATCTCTGTGTGTGTGTGTGTGTATGTGTGTGTGTGTGTGTGTGCTGGTGTGTGTTTGGGTGAAGACAAAAGGGTCACAAGGAACTTACAGCTTTGCTCAGAGAAGAGGAAATGGAGAGAAGAGAGGAAAAACAAAGACATAACAGAAAACTGAAGGCAGGAAGGATCTGACTGGTGCAGAGGCCTCAGAATCTTGACTGTCAGTCCTGCTTATGAATAAATAAAGTCAACTTGGATTAAAAGCCCCAGTAGTCACCATCAGAGGCTGAGCCAGGGAGTCTGTGGCTCCCTTCCTGCAGGACCAACTGTAGGTTTGTATTAAGAACACTGTCTTGAGCTTCAGGCAGTATACTGCAGCAAGGGGCTGCCAAGGAATCAGGACCAGAAATCCGCAAGAGGGTGCAACAACTGCAGTCTGTGCATATCCTTGTGTCCACCCACACGGTGTGTGTGTGTGTGTGTGTGTGTGTGTGTGTGTGTGTGTGTGTGTGTAACACTTATGCTAATAAAACCATGATTTTTATCCTCTAAAAGCTGTATTGTTCTGATGGGAATATTTCACAGCCTAAATTACTAGTCCACAAACAGAACCACAGCCAAGAACACTGCCCAGTTTATCGTGAAGTGCTTGTTCAAAAAACCACAAAGAAGGCTTCCTCTGCGATTACGCCAAGTGCAAAGAGGCAACTACCCTCAGCAGCACGTGGCTAATCAGAGAGAAACATGTATCCTCCATGTGTCCCCCTCCCATCCCCTGAACTACCAGCTGCTTCCAACATTGTTCTAAACACAAACCCTGTTCCTTCCTCAAGTGGGAATGTGCTCTTTCTCCCATGGAGTTTTTTGGCCATGGAGTATTTTTTCCCACTAGATGGCGATCTAGAGTGTTCAGGCAGCTTTGTTTAAATAAGGCATACATCCTTGGTCTCAATTATTTAAATAGAATATGGAAAATAAGCAAATTAACAAAAATGCAGGTTAACGCTTTAATCAAAATATGGGTTTAGAAGTAAACACTAAACAAATAAAATTGACTTTTGCTTAAATTTAATTCAAAAATATTTAAATTACAGGACTTGATACCCTAGGAAGGCGTAAGGGTGTCAAGACAAGGGCCCTGCACTCTGGGAGATGACACCCAAATGAGGGATACAGGTCATATTCAATTCATTTTGATACAAGATGGGGTATAATAAAGTGGTCGAATGACGATGGGAATTTTATATTTGAGTCACAGCTAGTTTTCAGATTATAAATACTTAATCTCTCACAAGCTACCAGGTCAAGACTGAAAGTTGCATTTGCTCTTTGAAAATAACATGGCTATATTGATGCTGAAAAAGAGAAACAGATGACTGGTGGTTGTACCATTTTCATACCGATCTAACATGGGAGTCAAATATGAAATGACTATTAATGGAAAAAGAAATTTAAGCA